CATTCAATTAGGAGGACAATATGTCTATACATGTTAATACTTTTTTAATGTACTTTTTTCTTTTTAATGTTTTTTTAATTGGTGTTTTGTATTTTAACCTTTTTTAATAAAATAGAAGTATATTTTAAAAAAGAATTAGTAAAATGTCTCCAAGTAGTCTGAATGACAGACTTCTGGGAGGGAGGGGTGAAGAATTTAAATCCATTGTTTACTCCCTTCTGGAGAAAAGTTCGCTCACCTGCAACTTGACCTGTTCCTTCCGCTTCTCTGCTTGGCTCAGGAGGAGGCCTTCTGCCAGAGCCACCGCCTGGGAGCTGGACTCTGCTCCACACTCTCGCACCCAACTCACCATCTCTGGGGGAAGGAGAACCAGGAGCTGCTCCAGAACAACCAGGTCCAGCATCTGAGCTTTGGTGTGTTTTTCTGGTCTCAGCCATTGTCTACAGAAGTCGTGGAGACGACTGCAAAGTCCTCGGGGACCCTCAGCCTCCTGGTATTGGAGGCTCCTCAAGTTCCAGGGCTGAATTTTTGAAGAGATGATGGTTTCCTCCTCCAGAATCATCTGCCCAGTTCTTGCCCACATCTCCCCATAGATCCCAAACTGTCCAGCAGAAGAGCCTTTTCCAGTTCTCTCACTTGCTAAAAGTGTTGTCTCCGTTCTTCTGTCTCTCTCCTCTAACGTAACTCCCATTGGGTCCAAGGGATATTGCGGATCTCCAAATGCCTTTTCATTCATAGAACCGATCCTACATTCACTGGAATGATCGCAGGCAGCCATTCAGCTCTTTTTCTCCAAGAGATAATTTTACCTGCGATCAAGTCCAAAAGGCTTCCACTTTCTATACCTGCAATGCAAAAAATATATATATCAAAAAATCAATCCCAAGAATTAGAAAGTTGGAGAATTTAACAATTGAGCAACAGTCATCGCCAGGGAAGAAAGTGTTTTTGTAAACTGTTATAGGATTGCAGTGGCATTAAGCAGATAGGTCCTCTTTCATGCATATATGTGCATATTTGTGCGAGCGTTGTGCATTATTTCTCCTTACAAGAAAGGACTTCCTTTTTAAAACCTAGATCTATATTTACCTCCAAGCAGAGTTCACACAACCTGCCAAACCCCCAGAAGGTGAACAAACCATGGAAGTCCAATTCATAATTTCAGGAAATGACCCTGGTTGAGGATGCCCCATTTCCCCTTCTTCAGGATTCACACAACCTGAATCAGAACCACAAAGGGGTCATCCCAGTGCAGAACCGAGATCCTCCCCCCACCCCCAACAGAGCCGGGAAAGAGGCAGCTGGAAGCCGGCCCGCTTCACTCCCCCTCCAGAGACAGGATCAGGCCCTCGGAGAGCCGGGTGCGAGTCCTGCCTCCTCTTCGCCCGGCTTCTGTACTCTCTTGCTGGGCCTCCGCAAGGCCGACCCTCTCCTCCTCCCACTCGGGCTCTTCCCCGGACACAGGGCGGGAAGAGATCCCCGGATTCCCCTCCCCACTTTCCTGGGATCCCCGGTTGTTCTGCTGCTGCTACTCTGCAGCTCCGCTTCCCCCTGCATGGAGAGGGCGGCTGAGGAGCATGGGATCCGGGATTGACCCCGCAGTAGGGCCGGGCACGGGTCCTTTGCCTCCCTTTGCCCGGGAAGAGCCCCTCCCCTCACCCGGAGCACGTCTGGATCAGCCCTCTGCTAGACTCTCTCGCAGCCTCTCCGCCTCCTGCGGAGCCACAAGGGTTAAGGAGAGCGAGTGTCGGAGTCTAGAGCGGAAAGCGTTTCTGATGCCATTCCCTTCTCAGCCGTAACTTTCGCCCTCCAGTGGCCCAATGGGGGAAGTCCCTGGTGTTCCCTTATTTTGGCAGAGGGCGGCCCCTGGTGGATTTTCTTTGTAATGCCAGGAGACCCTGCAAGGGCTGGGAAGAGGACTGAGTGGAGGTAGTGGGGAGCAAAGCACATCTTGGCGTGAGGGGAGGGCAGGGATGATGGACATGGGAGTAGAAGAAAGGCCACTCACAAGGATTCTCTGCATGAGAATTCTCCAGAGGTAGCAGCTTCTCCATCTTCCTCTCCTTCATGTCCAGGAACATCTGTGAAGATGGAGAAAAATCTCTCTGGAGGATCAAAACTCACTTCCCTCAAGAACAGCCACCCAGGAAGGCTCAGCAGAGATTGGAGGAGGCCTCAAAGGGGATCAAATCCTGTCAGAAATGGCAGAAGAAGAGGACCTGAAGCCTCTCTTGGAAACATAGCTTGTGTCTTGTGGTTGTTGCAAATTCTAGCCTGAAATGGAGGAAGATGGGCCTGGAGGGACACAGACAGGGAAGCCACAACCAGAAAAATGCAAATTTATTGGAAACACAGCACCCCTATCTCTTCCCATCCTTTCCACCGGCTTCACAGCACTCAGACTGATGCCGCCCAAGGAGCCAAAACAGTGGAGCTACATGAGGGCCTGCTGCACAGGCTGCAGAGCTCAGGCAGAGGAGAAGGAAGATGGGGGTGCTGCAGTAATGGTAGTAGTGGCGTCAGCGTCAGTTCGCTGCAGTTTTTCTCAAGCCACACAAATGGGTGAATGCTGCTGAGTTGGAGGGGCTTCAGCTATGTTTTGCTTGGCATTCCTCAGTCTTTTCTGAGGGAGTGAGCCTTGGGTGGGGTGACAGGCTGGGATGGGGAAAAGGAGGCTGCCAAGCTTCAAAAGGCATTCTTGCTGTTGCAGCTATGATCACATCTCAGTTGGCCAATGAACTATGGGTAGAGGGAAAGAAGAGATAGAGCATGGGGCGAGACATCAAGATGTCAGCATGAGAACCAAGGAAGGTGTTTACCAGAGCAAAAGGAATTTCCCACAATATCCGGAAACTGCTTTGGGCAATGTGACCTGATCTAATTGGGAGGAAGGGGAATTTGAACTTTAACTATGCAGGTTAGCACGAGAAATACCTAGATCTGATTTTCACTTCAAATGTGCTAAAAGGTTGTACTCAATAAAGGTTTGCATTAAGAGATCAGATTGCCTGGACCGTGCTTGCTCTGGTTGGGTTGGTCAATCGGAACCTTGAAAGAGGCATTCTGACAGCATTGGAAATAGAGCATGGTGAGTGGGGTTGTAGTGAGTCTGCAGTGGTGAACAGCTTGAGGAATAAGGACAGCGCATGTGGGAAAAGGGGCGAGCTACAAGCAAGGAGACAATCATCTCCCAAGCTATGGTATGGATGCCACCAGTAGTGCTAGAAGAGTGTGCCCACTTGCCATGGAATGCTGTTGTTGAATCCACATCCCCTTCCTTTCCTCCCTTCACTTTCTGCATGAGGCTTATTTTGTTACTGAATAAATAGGATATTTGAAGTAAGGAGGCTGCTACAAGTACCATTTTGCTTTTGCAGAGGGACAGCAGGAAGGTTTTGCACAAGGTCAGCGAAGACCCTGCTTAAATTTATTTCCAAATGCCCAGAGCCACCATATCTGTTTCAAGGGCCTTCTTTAATTGTATTTAAGTGTATCCTCTGCCCAACGTAAAACAGATTGTCCCCGTCACAATATTTGAACTTTGAATTCCATTTCCACTGTTTGCCTTTCTTCATTTTGCAATTGCATCTTTTTTCCTGTCACAGACACCATTTTTTCCCTCTTCATTTCTCTACCAGGGAGCCTCTTTCTGAGGTAAAATTTCTGGAACATTCACAAGTTTTAGCTTTTTCTTCATTTTGGAACTGATTTTTTATATATATCCACCCCCCCTTTCCCACGCCCCCAGCATTATTTTCCTTGTTTCAGGCAGCATTTGGTTTTGCCAATTATTCTTGGCAAGAGAATTTGAGAAGAACTGTATATATTGAACTAAAGAAATAAGAACTGACAGAAATCTCTTATTTTCCTGACAGGAAAAATTTCCTTCCCTCAGGAGGCCCTGTAGCTTTTCTCTGACATGCAACCAATCAGAAGTCTCTTTACTGCTACTCCCATGCCCATCATCCCTGCCCTCCACCTCCCCTCAAGGTGTGCTCTTCTTTCCCGCCCTTGGGGGTGGGGAGGAGCGAAATCCTGGGACTTTGCCCAGAACCTTCCAGGGGTCGCCCTCAGCCAAGACAAGGGAATTCTGGGCGCTTCCCCATTAGGCCGCTGGAGAGCGAAGGTCACAAAGGGAGTGACATCACAAACGCTTGTCGCTCTAGGACGACCCACTCTCTCCCCTTAACCCTTGGAGCTCCGCAGGAGGCGGAGAGGCTGCGGGAGAGTCTCCGGACGTGACCCGGGTGAGGGTGAGAGCTCTTTCTGTGCAAAAAGAGACGGAGGAGGGGAGACCCGCGCCCGACCCACCTGCGGGTTCAACCCAGGATCCCATGCTCCCCAGCCGCCCTCTCCATGCAGGACAAAGCAGCAGCAGAAGAAGAACCGAGGATCTCAGGAAGGCTGTGGAGATCCGGGGATCCTTTCCCGCCCCGTGTCCGGGGAAGAGCCCGAGTGGGGGGAGAGGAGGGTCGGCCTTGCGGAGGCCCAGCAGGAGAGGAGAGAAGGCGGGTGGAGGAGGCAGGATTCGCACTGGGCTCCCCGAGGGTCCTATTCTGTCTCCTGTGGGGGAGAGAAGCGGGGCGGCCTCTCCAGCTGCCTCCTTCCCTGCGCTTGGGTGAGCCCTTGGGGCTCCGGGCAGGTTGTGTGAATCTGCCTGCGGGTCAGAGGGCGACTCGGCTCTTCAAAGATGAAGAAGGGAAATGGGGCATCGTTAGCCAGGATCATTTCCTGATATTTCATTCAATGTGAACCGATCTTCCATGCTTTGTTCACCTTTTTAGGGTTTGGCAGGTTGCGTGAATGGGGCTTGGTGTTAAATATAGATCTAGGTTTTAAAAAAGAAACCAGAAGTAGAAACAAGAAAATACACTTATTGGGCAATCCAAGTCTTTGATGGAAATCTATACTGCAAACACAAAGCAAGAGAAATTCACACATATACACAAACACACTCAAAGTCACTTCAAACCTACACCAGATCAGAAAAATACTTCTTTCCTTGCTCATGAGTGTCGCTCAATAGTTAAATCTACATTTTCTAATTCCTGGAATTAATTTTCTTTTCCATCTCAGATACACATTTTAACTTCTTGGCCTATAAAATCACCTCTTTGGGGGAAAAAATGGATGCAGGATTGGTCCTATGAATGAAAAAGCATTTGGAGTTCCACAAAAGTCCTTGGACCCATTTGGAGTTGCATTTCAGGACAGAAGGAATGGAGACACAACTTTTAGCAAGTCGGGGAACTGGAAAAGGCCCTGGGAGCTGTGGGGAGATCTGGGAAAGAATGGGGCAGAAGATCCTGGAGGAGAAAAACATCATCAGTTCAGAAGTTCAGCCCTGGAACTTCAGGAGCCTCCAATACCGGGAGGCTGAGGGTCCCCGAGGACTTTGCAGCCAACTCCACGACTTTTGTAGGCGATGGCTGAGACCAGAAAAGCACACCAAAGCCCAGATGCTGGACCTGGTTGTTCTGGAGCAGCTCCTGGCTCTCCTGCCCCCAGAGATGGAGAGCTGGGTGCGAGAGTGTGGAGCAAAGACCAGCTCTCAGGCCGTGGCCCTGGCGGAAGGCTTCCTCCTGAGCCAGGTGGAGGAGCAGAAGGAGCAGACAAAGTTGCAGGTGAGAGACTCATCTCGGCAGGCCAGAAGCTGTTTGAAGGGACTAAAGTAGGTGCTGAATTTTTCAACCTTCCTTACCACACTTTTCTTGGCTTTCATAATACATGGGTTTGTTTCATCAAATTTTGTAGTTATCTATCCATTATCCATTTTGGAAGTTATATTTGGCACCATTGCTCCTTTCTTTCCAGCACCATTGATGTAACTGAGGGCTTTGAAGTTATGTTTGGAGAAAAAGAATCTACTTCGAGTTGTTTGATGACTATTCTATTTTTTTCTCCTGCCTTCTAAGTCCTTCAATGTGGAGATCAGAGATCCTGACGGAAGGAGGAATCCATCAAATCCCTTTCAGGAGCTGTTTTCCAGGAGGATTCCTCAGGAAGATCCAAATCAGGACACCTCAGAAGGTAAACTAAGGTCCTCCCGTTCACCAGAGAAATTCTCTTTCTCATCTTATTTATCTTTCTGTCCGATAGAATACTTCTTCCTGTTTCTTTAATTATGAATTTTAAAATTCTGTCTTCCTCACAGTGAAACATAGAATGATGTGTGGTCTTTATGGTAGTGGTGAAACAGCAGATGAAGCAGCTGAAACTCAAGTAAGAGTGGGAAATTTATAAGATTTATATCCTCCCTTTCCTTTGGGAAGTCAATCTAGAGTCCTATTTTTCCATGTCCCTTGACTTGGATATTTTCTTTTTACCTGTGCGAAACTGATAGGGGAATAGAAGATTCAGGTATTGAATCTTCAAGGTTCAATCTTCAAGATTCAGCCGGGTTAGCTTCTTTTAAAATCTACATTTGAGATACATTGTTTTGTTATTTCAATTCTAAGATTCTTAGGATTTTTTTTTAAGTGGTTTTTAACCCTCTTTACATTAGCTACCCTCTCTACTTTACAACATTTAAATCTTAAAAAATGCTTCACTTGATCAGAGCAGCATTATTATATGTAACAACTGCTAAAACAGAGACTCATTCTTTTGTTAATTAAGCAATGTGTTCAAAAATAACTAAATACATATTTTTTAAAAATCCTTGTGCACAATGAGTGATAAGAAGTATAAGCCTATCTGATTAAATGATTTTGCAGACTATTAAAATCCAGTG